TATATAGGAAGAACAGAAAATATATTGTCACTTTATGACAATTTCACATTGTAATTATCTGCATAATGGAGTAACACTAAAATGCCAACATTCAAGAAAAATTACCCATTGAAATATTCTGCATTAGGATTGTTAGACTGTTGAATGAAGTTCATTTTTTTTAATTATGTTTTTAAAAAGTTTTTTTCTTTTTTTATAAAATTATTTCAATTCATTTTTTGTTTTTTGATGAATTATTTACTAATATATTTATAAAGAATTATTTGCTTGTTATGCAAAAAATCATGAATTATTTATATTTATTCAAACAGTTTTTTAATTATGTATATTTATTTTTTGTTTATTAGATAATTTGATAAGCTTTTTGTTATTATTTTTTAAATCTTGATATTTTAAGATTGTAATAAAGTATAAAATATTTTAAAGATTAATGATGCCAAAACTTGAAAGGTCAAGATCAGAGATCTTTACACCTCTCCATTTTGAACGAGCCTCTCGCTCTCTACCTGAAAACAAGGGTTTTTTTTTTATGTTCTCAAATGCTGCATTGGTAGGTTTAGAATAAAAAAATCAAGTTATTCAGTTTTATTTTTTTTATTTATTATATATATATATATATATATATATATATATATATATATATATATATATATATATATATATATATATATATATATATATATATATTGTTTATATAACAATAATAATAATTTTGAATATTCAATAGCTTTCAAATTTTTTTGTTTTGTAACATAATTAATAATAAATAATATTAATTATTTTGCAAAATGATAAATAGTTATTCTTTATACATTTAAAAAAGCAAAAAACTAATTTTGAGCCAATTCAATTTTTTTAGATTATCTAAAAATTTCAAAATACAATTTATTAGTAACGGTTCGCTATGTATTATATAACATATATATGTAACAAAGTTTTTCTTGTATTAAAGTTGAAAAATGTTTAAGTGCAAAAAGTATTCTTAAATCTTATATGCTTTTATTTAAAATTTTTTTTTTTTTGTAATATATTTTAAAATTGTGTATAATATTTATTTGTTCTATTATTATTTTATATAATATTGTAACTGTTGTAAATTGGGTTATTGTTATTAAGGTTACTTTTTATTTTATTTATTAATATCATTTTAATAATTGTCAATTTGTTTCTTTATAAATTTTTTATTAAATATTATTTTTTAATAGTTTTTTAAATATTTAGTAATCCTAATTGTTCTCATTGTTTGTATCATTGTTATATAATATTGCCATGTACTTTATTGTCTAATAAAGTACAAGTTGATGCTATTTTCTTTATTAGTAGTTATCAGTTATTATTGTTTTTCATTTTTTTTATGTATTTCATATTTACAATTTATTTAAGAACAAAAAAAAAGACAATTTTGAATACCCTAAACAAAATATAAACATAAGTATTTATTTTAAAATTTTAACGATAATTCTACAGACTGGTTGGATAACAAAATATTAACATAAATATCTATTTTAAAATTTTAACGGTAATTCTACATACTGGTTGGATAACAAAATATTAACATAAATATCTATTTTAAAATGTTAACGGTAATTTTACATACTGGTTGGATAACAAAATATTAACATAAATATCTATTTTAAAATTTTAACGGTAATTTTACATACTGGTTGGATAACAAAATATTAACATAAATATCTATTTTAAAATTTTAACGGTAATTCTACATACTGGTTGGATAACAAAATATTAACATAAATATCTATTTTAAAATTTTATCCTAACCAAAATATTAACATAAATATCTAATTTAATACATAATAGCCTTTTTTTAATTCTAAGTAGGCTACACAAATATATTTATTTTATTTTGCTAATAATACCATATAAATATGTTTTTATATCCTTTAATTATGTTAAATAAATCCTTTTTTTTTTTTTTGAATTAATGACTCATCACATTAAATGAGTTAATTTATAAAAAGGTTTTAAATCCCCAATTACTTGTGAGATCAGAATATTATGCTGATTTGTAAACATTTTCATAGAGTCATGTTTAAAATTGGCAAATAATTTTTTTAAAATTAATTTTTTTTTTTTTTAATAAATAACAAATTGTTGTTGTTAGGTTGATATTTTACTGCTTAATACTATTATTCAATTAATTCTTTTTATTTCAAAAGTACAATAGTGGTAGATTATAAAATCAATTCTATAGTTGATCCATATAACTAATATAGTTTTTCTTAATAAATGATACCATGTTTATAGTTTTGCATATGGGTTAATGTTATTTTATAGTTGATTCTAAATACTAATGTCTTAGAAGTCAACAACAAATAAGTTTATTTGAAGAGTTATATATTTGTATTGAGAAAAAAAAATGTTGTTATGAATACTTCTTCATAACAACATTTTTTTCTTCAATCTTGTGTTATTATGAATACTCTGTGTTGTTAAGAATATCTTGTGTTATTATGAATACTTTGTGTTATTACTAATACCTTGTGTTGTTATGATTACCTTGTGTTGTTGTAATTAGTTCATAACAAGCTGTACAAAATAGTTTATGTGATAATAAAGTAACAGTTATTTAATTTTTATTTTTTTAACTGTGTTACACTATGTTAATAAATACTGTTAAAAGCTGTTGCTAAATGTCTTGCTTATAGTTATTCATAATTTAATTGGCTTCTTGGTTTTGAAAGTTTTAACTAAATTAAACATAGTTTTATGCCGAGGTTGTTGTTTTTTTCCACAAAAAGAAATGATTTTTCTCAACACTAGTTCTCAAAATATTAAATTAAATTACACCTAATTAAAAACCTAAAACAAAGATATGTTAATTTAAAAAAAAAATTAATGCGTTAATTTTGCCTAGCCAATCAAAACTTTTGTAGCTCTCTTTGCTACCTTAAGAACTTATGGAAAAAGCAGAATATTATAATTATATTATATAAATAAAATTTCAAATCTAAAATATTTATTTGAAATATTTAATATGCTTTTTGTAATTAATATATTTTATTTTCAAATATGTTATGTAAATTTTTATTTAGTTGCTTAACCATCCATTGTTTTAATTTAGTTGTTCACCTTGTTGTGTTTTTCATTTACTTATTTATCTATTTGTGTATTATAATTGAGGAAAGGATTGTTAGGTAAAATAATTGTTGTTTATTTCAATTGCATAAACTGCAAATTAACCATAAATTTTATCTCATTTCCAGTTTGTAATTCCAGTAATTTAGCACTGGTTACATTTTTATGTAATTTACTATATTTACCGTTTGTGTAACTTTTTTTGTTGCATCAGATTTTGATGTATTCTATATCAAAATCTGATGCAACAAAAACAGTTCTTGTATGATCTTGCACCAGATATTGATGTATTCTAAAATATTTGAGTTTTTAACCTCATTATAAAAACAAAAGTTTTGATTAGTGTCAATAAGCATTTAAATTAATGTCATACCTTTTACACAGGGAGTCAACATTAACTATTATTTGTATATACCAATGGCAAAAAAATATACACGATTTGTTAAGAACATTTTATTTTTTTATAATTATTGCTCTGGCTTCAGTTTATTTTCTGCATTTGGTTTGTTAAAGTTTGTCTTGTTGTTTTCAGTATTGTTACAAGTGTATCAGTTGTGTTACAAGTGTATCCTTATTACACAAATACCACTTTAATTTTCAGCATTGATTTTTAGTTATCATTGGATGTCTAGCCTAATATCTGTAAATAACGCAATTCTTAATTTAAAAAAGAGCAATTTTAATAAATCTTTCAAATTCAATTGGTTTTTAAATTAGATTTTTAAATTAGATAGCGCACTTCAAGACTTAAAAGTTAACATTGTAAGATAATAATATTGTCAAACTAACAATAATATATTTTAATAGTTAAGATGCCTTTAAAATGCTTTGTACCTCTTTGCTAGTCAATCTATCATACAACTACAACAAAAGTATTAATTTGTAGATTTTATTGTTTCAAACTTTACAGCAGTATGTCGACTGCATTGGCCTGATGATGCACCTTTTGAAAGCAATATGGAAGCAAGGGCCATTAAACCCACTATCTGTTTTTAAAAGAAAGAAAAAGTTAATCTTTGTTAAGTTGAAAGGAAAGTTAATAAATCTACAGTAGTGGCTATAGTTTACATAGCCAGCTATGTGGAAAAAAGCAAAATAAAAATTTATGATGACACAGCTAATTATTATAATAGATATGGAAGTTATCTGAATAGCCTAAACAGAGGCAGACTTTTTCTGATACTTTTGTCCAATTGTCAATATTTTGCTTTTTATTTTTTCAAAATGCTACTGGCCCTTTTTGCAAAACATTTTGTGTTACTCAGTTTCAGTTTATAGCAGCTAAATATAAATTTAAAATCACAAAAAAATGTAGAATTTATTCTAATACTTTGCTAAAGATTTACACACTAATTACCACTCCCAGAATACTTAAGTGATCATAATTTATGTAGAAATTAGTTTTGTAATTTATGCTATTTTCTTGTTATGTTTTTTACTTCCTCTGTAACCTTTGTCTCTCAATATATTTAAATTTGTAAATATTTACTCAGTTGAGATATATCGATAAAGCTTTTTTTTGTATAAATGGATTTTTGTTGGTGTTTTTCATTGTTGGTGATTTTCATTGTTACCTTTTTTTTTAGTTGTATTTCTGTAAGCAAAAAAAAATGCAGTTATCTTTCTAATATATAGTTATATACATTGTTATAGTTCTGCTTGTTATTGATATTATTTAATATTACATTGATATTTTTGATGAAATTTGAAATACAAAAAATATGATTTACCTACCTTAAATGAAAATATATCAATAAAAGTAATAATTGTTTACCTGGCCTTCAGTTTTTATGGCGTTTTGAGTGATGACAAGGCCTGTTATTATAGAAGGCTGTGAATTGTAGTTTTTTTCAAAGTTTATTTAATTTTTTACAGTTATATAATAAGTGTATTTTTTCTTGTAGAACATGCAAGAAAACACAACTACGATGTTGAAATTAGCAAAGTCTGAACAACAGCTTCATGAAGCACTAGAAAAGCACAAGAAATATGCCAAAAAGTATGTAAAGCACTATACTCAAATCCTATAATTGGACAAATTATATATATATATATATATATATATTATATATATATATATATATATATATATATATATATATATATATATATATATATATATATATATATGTATATATATATATATGTATATATATATATATATATATATATATATATATATATATATATACATATACATATACATATACATATACATGTACATATACATATACATATACATATAAGTTATACAAGTTAGACACAAATTGGGTAATGCTAGTTGAATCAGTGAAGGTGAAATTTCAAGAACTATAGTAAGATAAGGTTTGAGCCAAAAAACATGTTCTACATATTATTTAAAACAACAGATGTTGTTTTATTTGGGCTATGTTAAAAAAGGGAGATCATTACTATTTAAAGCAACTTCAAGGTATATCCAAAAAAGAGTATGAAAAATGTTTCACAAATGACTTAAAAGAGTGCAACTTTGTATAGATAATGATGGACATTATTTTGAACAATTAAAACAAAAAATTAAAAATTCTTTTATTTTTATAGGGGATTCTACAAACTTTTCTAATTATCTAAGTATATACATGTGTATAATATATTTTGCGCATAAACATATTAATAATACACTAATAGTATGTTATTAATATATGAATGATAATAATATAAGTCTATAAGAGCATTAGGATTGGCTGCTTAAAAAGCGATAGGTTTGGGTTCCTGTACAAATGTACATTTGTAAGTCAAAAATAGCAAAAAATGTTTTGTTTTTATTCTTTAGTATTCTTTTTATCTTTTTCTGAAAATTTAAGATTGACGATAAAACTGTCAAAAATTTGTTTGTTTAGACTTAAAGAAAAAGAGGAACAGCTTTTAGATACAAAAAAAAAGTTAGAAGCATCAAACATTGAGCTACAAAGAGTATGCATTTTATATTCATTATGTAAAGTTATTTTCCATAAGCTTTGATGAAATTTATAAAGCATAGTTTTAAACATTAGCTTAGGTTAAACTTTTTTAAAAAACTCTAAAATAAAAAATAATGTAATTGTTAATAATAGGTTTTATTCATACTATAGTAAAGTTTATTCATTATACATTTCAGTATTAGATTAAATTGAAATAAGTTTACCCATGATACAAAATACAAACTCTAAAGAGTTCGCAATTCGTTTTAAGTTATAGGTTTTTAATTATTTAAATGAATTCTATTTACCATAAGAAAAATATTACATGTCAAGTGTTTGAATTTCTTACTTTTTGTTTTCTGATTTTTTGTTTGTTTTTAAGGTATACTGTGCTTTTATTTTGTTTCAAAGGTATACTGTGCTATATGGTAGACACAGTGCTTTTATTGAAAATTTAAGAAAAAAGTCAAAAGTAAAATTTAAAATGTATAAATAAAAATTCAGGGTCAGGGTGATTACCAGAGTTTTTAAAAATCAGAACAACAGATTCCAGTCTGCTTATTCCAACAGACTGGAAAGCAAACTGTATTTAAGCACTTGTTAAATGTTAAAGATATTTTTAGAGAGTTTTGTAGAACACTTTTATAAGACTGTAACAAAAATGTTGTTGGAACCACAAGCTGTTTATGAGTTTAAGTGAGAAATAGCTTTACCAAATGAAGCTGGGGTGATTAGAATGTCTGACAATGGATAAACCTGTTTCACTAAGATGACATGATTACATGTAAATGCCATGCGCTCATAGCATATACATGGCATAATTTAAGTATATATATATACATATTTAAATTATAATTAATTGCGGCACTCCTTTACGGCAGCAGGCTATATATATATATATATATATATATATATATATATATATATATATATATATATATATATATATGTAAATGTATAAAAGTACTTTCACCTAGTTTATATTCAATATTCTTCAAAAAAACTATTTCATTTTTTTTTAAATGTTCAAATTTTTCTTGAATCAAATGAGCAGTCTCTTTTACATAACAATAGAGATGACTGGTTGCATCTGGCCTATTTGAAATAAAATATTTCCATATTATCTTTTCTAAACTTCAAATCTCCAAAGCACAAACACTATACTATACACAGAGCAATCATCCAAACCTCTCTTTATAATGGCTGAGTTTTAAAACTCAGATTGATTGCTTTGAACAACGCCTCTTACTTTGCAAATAAAAATTATATTATCACCTCTTGTAATTAACTCTTTATGCAGTTACTTTCATAGTCCAAATGATATTTAAACACTCTAGAAACTTAGTGGTTCATCATATAGAAAAGATAACATTTTACTTTGGTTTCATAATATTAAATCTGCTATAGATATATAAATTTTTTGTAATGTTTCAACTTAGTTAAAACAAGATGACTATTATGAGTTACATGCTTTAAAGTCCAAACTTGAATAGAATATGGAGTGTTCAAGCTTAGCTCAACCTAGAAGTTTAAGAATGAGTGTACCACTCCGCATCCAGTTTGGTTTTTCATATTTAACAAGTTCTAATAAAACCCTCTACACTTGAATTGATATATATATATATATATATATATATATATATATATATATATATATATATATATATATATATATATATATATATATATATATATATATATATATATATATATTTATATATATATATATATATTTTTATATATATATATATATATATATATATATATATATATATATATATATATATATATATATATATATATATATATATATATTAGGGTGGCTCTTAAAACAACTTTTTTGAGAAAAACCTGCTCGCACCCCCTAAATGTGTTCTAATACAAAAAAACTAGGTTTACATTTTTTGTGAATAAAAAATATTTTAAGAGGTCCCCAAGACCCTTGAATATTTAATGGGTCCCTAATATTTTCAAAAAAAAAAGTTTTTTAAAAATATGTCAACCTGGTACTCAAATGAAGCAAAATTATATAAAAATTTCAAAATTATATTCATTTCAAAAAAATTTTAACTTATTAAAATTATCATAAAAAAACATAGAAAATGTATTTTTTTCATTTTTTGTTAAAAAATGCAATTTTTTACGTAATAAAACCAAAAATAACAATTTTTTTTCAAAATAAATATTATTTTTAAAATTTTTTGGGACACCCAAATATATATACATATATATATATATATATATATATATATATATATATTATATATATATATATATATATATATATATATGCGGTAGTGGTATATATATAGCACTACTAAAAAACTAAAATGTATATATATGTATACATATATATACATATATATATATTTTTTATAAATAAAAAATATATATATGTATACCACACAAATAATACTTTATTTTGAAGATTGCGCTGATAGAAATTACGTCAAAAATAAATAACTTAAATAAACTTTTATCTTTACTAAAGTTTTTATATTAACAAAATGCTTTTAAATAAAGTAACAGTTACTGTTAATGTTTTAATTTAAAGTAGAGATAAAAGTTGTATAAATTTTTATTTATATTATTTAAATATACAAAGACTGTATAATTAATAAATAAAACAATATATAAGATTTTTTTAAATTGATCTTATATTTAATTTTATTTAATTAATGTTAATTTTAGTAATAATTATAATAATAACTATATATAAATTGTAATAATAATTTCATTATAATTAATTTTAGAATTAATCTTATAATTATTTTTATAATTTATTTTTTATTTATTTAAATTTTATAAGTGATGACTTTAAACAAAGAATTTCTCTTTAATAAACTTAATTTAAGAATCATTAAAGTTAAAACACTCTAAAAGATTTTGTTGAGAAGAAAAAAAGACAAACTTTCAAATTTCAGCCATTTGAATTAAATAACTTTGATCTTTACAAATGTTTTTATATTATTAAAATAGTTTTGAATAAAATGTAACAATTCACTGCTAATGATGTTTTACATAAAGTATTAATGTACTTTTCTTTAGTCTTTAAAAAAAAAATTATCAATTAAAATTAATATATTCGAAATATAACAAGTTTTTTTTTGCGAATGTAAGTTAAAAACAATTTATATATAAAATTTTTTATAACAATTTTTTTTCCTTTAGTCTTTAAATAAAAAAAGTTATCAATTAAAGTTAACAAATTAAATTATTAACAAATTAAATTAAATTATCAATTAAAGGAATTTTTGTGAAATGCGTTTCCAAAAAAAAAAGCGTTGTTAAAAAAAACCTTTTTAAGTTGAATCGTTTTTTTTAAAAAATACCACTAATACGCATTTTCTATGAAAGCAAAAGTGTTTATTTACATTTTTTTGTCGATTGGTACTATTTATTTTTTATTTTTTTACTATTAATATAATTTTATATGGTGTGGTAACAAAGCAGGCAGGACACTACTAGTTTTACATTATAAAAACATTAATAAAGATTTGAAATTACTTATTTCAAACGTAATTATCTTATTGTTTATTATTTATTTTAATTAAGTTTTGTTTTTATTTTTGTTTTAGTTATTTATTATTAAGCTACTTTTATTTTATTTGTCATTATTTTTTTTAAAAATATTTTTTTTCTTTTTCGAAAATAAGTTTGTTTTTTTAGTTTCTTTATAACTAAGTTAAGTTTTCAGCACTTTATTAAAAAGTTAAAATTGTAGTCAAATCTTCAAAACAAAATATTATTTGCGTGGTCATATAAAGCCACGCCTTCCTGACCTGGTGTGTATATATATATATATATATATATCCACACACACTTTCTTGCGAAAGCGCTTTTAGACGCACTCGAAATATATGAAATTCCTGTTTAAGGTCATAAAAAAATTTGTTAAATTAGAAAAAGTGGGTCTAATAGCGCTAGAGTATAAATGAAGAGCTTATTTTTAAAACGCGGTAAGCGCCAATTTCAAAAAAACTGCGTTAAGTGAATTTCGAAGAGAAAATTAAATCCTTTCAAGTAATGTTTGTAACTAATTAATTAGGCTTTATTTATTTTTTTTAATTTAGGCTATAAAAATAATTTATTTTCAAAACGCGGTATAATTTTTTTTAGTTTATTTTCATTGTGCTGTATATTTTTTTGACCAATCTGTGGCTATATAAAGTTACTCCACACAAGCGCAATAAGCATACTTAAATAATAATAATAAAGATGGCTGATTTGGATGGCTTACATGAAAGTGTTGTGTTAACGTTAAAATCACGAAAAAGAAAAAAACAATGTTCTGCAAGAGAGGAAAAAAAATTATTTAGACATTCAAGTCAAGGAAAAATTTCTTCTATATCATGTAATTATGTTTCAGGTTACTGCAAAGTGAGTTTTTTGGTTTTATTGATTTTTGTATATTGAAATTTATAATTCAGTTATGAGTTTAAAGTTTTAATATACACAATGTAAGATTACTTGGCATAGTTTGTGTTTATGGAAAAATAATCATTTATTGATTGACTTATTTCAGGCTCGAGATATAACACAAGATAATTTGCTTAAACTTCATACAGAATTCTATAGTATTGCAAGTAAAGTATCACAAGATGCTACTATACTATCAATGCTTAACATAATCAATGTGAAAAGAGTCAGAGTGAAATATAATAATCAAAAAAAGTTAAGAACTATGAGTATTGAGTACTTTTTATGCTGCGAATTAAAGTACAAGTTTGCCAAGCTTCATTTTGTTCAGTATTGTGTAAGTATAAAATTACTTTACTTTTAATTCAGAAATAAAATGTATATTTTGTTAAAAAAAAATTAGTGAGAAAAAGTTAATATTTTATTAATTTATTCCAGCCATAAAACTTGATAGAGTTTTAAGAATTGCAAGACACTGGTATGAACATAGAACAACCAGACCTGAAAATAGATTGGGAGACAGGAAGAAAGTAACTTTTTCTGAAAAAAAAGAAACTAATAAAAACCATATTCAGTCTTTTACTTTTAAGTTGG